TTTCCTTGATTTAAGTAAGAACAATCTTCGGATTGTCACTGGATTTTTAACAAGACACTCTGTTAAAGGTTGTTACACCCTGTGGTAGGAAAAATAAATGTTGAAATTCTTCAGGCGTTAGTATGGCGTAGCAAATCGTTTGCCTGTATAAAAGGTTAATAGGTGATTAAGGCCCGATGGTACTTTCTGTCGAACGGCAAAACATTACCGGTACAAGGAGTTTTACTTAAAGCTGGCGGAACAGCCAGCGGTCTTGTGCTCAGCACGCGACGAAGGTACTTCCACCGTTTCCGGATTTCACCCTAATTTACAGCGTTTTTCAAGGAAAAGGGAGAACCTTTCGTTGCATAGTTTAATACCTGAGCTACCTGAAGTATGTGATTGATTTAGATTCAGGTAAAAACAGTACCCGATTTTTTTATTTTACGGAAAACGGACATCTTAAAATTTTATTTTGTAAAGTTCAATATATTTTCTTCTAGTGATCTGATTTTGATGATTTTTTAAGCAATATGTAGCTAAATTATTTGTATTTTTAAGCCTTTTTTGAATTAAACATTCTCATCTGAATCTCTCATGAATCAAAAAATTTCAAATCCTCATTTGTCCATTATACAGGGTGGCGCCTCTCATACGCCGCGGAGGCTCCACGGAGAACGACAGTTTGGATTGAAATGAAATTTTGTGAGCATATGTAGGTTAATTCAGAGCACTTTTTAAAAATATAGAGAGTTCTACAGGGTGTCCCCAAAAAAGTTACATATTAAAGTTGTGTTTTTTGTAATGGAACACCCTATATATTAATTGATTTTCGGATTCTGGGGGAAAAATAAAGGTGAGTTTTATAAGAGAAGTATATGACTAAAATGTGAGGTTTTTGACATATTTAACATTTTTTAAAAATAAAAACAATTTTTAAATTACAATAAAAGCTACCTAAATAGAATTTACGCGGTATAGCCTAATATGTAGTTAAATTAACTATTGTACTTTAAATCAAATTAAAACTTGATCCAAACAATTATACAGGGTGAGACAAAATTAATATTGAACATTGGTCACCTTTAAAAGCATGTTACTCTTTTATTTTAAATAGAACACCCAGTATATTATTCCGATATTCAATGGGGAATTCATGTATCTTCAAAATACTATTAAAGTTGCCTACCCCTCAAACAAAGATTTTCCTAGATATTTTCATTTACATGATTTGATCTCAGTAGATCTTTATTATTTGATAAAATCTAGATGCCTGTAATATGTCTGACGTTACTTCAACATAGCTGTCTAATTGGTCCAACTTTAATAACTAGTTATCATTTTGTGTCAGTTAAAATAAAAAAAAATCTCAGAAATTGGCCGAAAATTCAAACTTATCCTACATCAGAGAGAATTGATATGATTCTATTAGTTGGTGAATGCAGTGTGCATTCACCAATTAAATGGTGAATTTTTTTGTAGCTTGATTATTTTTGGAGATGGCGACTAGACAAGCTACTAGACAAGTGCTATTGGAAAATGGATTTGTGTTTTATTTGCAAGGAATTATTGAATGTTTCGTTTTGGGGAAATAAATACATATCATAGGGAAGTTTGCATGTAATTTTAATATGAACACCTTTAAGTTGGTAAATTCGTAGAACTAAACAAAAATTATGAAACTACCCCAATTTGTTCAGGAACTGGACGCTATCTCCAAAAATAATGAAGCTACAAAAAAAATCATGAGGGAAAGTTGCTTGTCCATTTATTATGAACAACTTTCATACGTATTAATTTGCTGTAAAACAAACTTTTTGAAAACCACCCCAAAGGGCTCATGAAACGGCCGCTAAGTCCGGAAATAATAAACTTATTAAAAAAATTCATTAGGCGAACTTATAGAGAATATTCTTATGTAAAATTTGGCGTCTAATTATTTTGTTGTAGTACAGTTTAAAAAAAAACACCCCTATTGCTCAAAAACCGCAAGTGGAAAATTTCCGATTTTCTTTATTTTACACTCAGAAGACAGTCGCTGACAAAAATCAGCTTGTCCCTAATTTTTTTTTTCAAATGACAATTTTATTGGATTATCTGTGGAATGGTTTAACGGTTAGGTTAGGTATAAATAAAGAATATTAGTTTTATATTATTAGTTAGGTATAAATAAAGAAAAAATATAAGTTGTTTTTAAGTTACTATAAAAACAACTTTGTCATCAAGGTGCATACTTGAAAAAAAATAAGTGAAAAAAAATCAGCTAAAAATGAAAAAACTAATAATTACTAAAAATGAAAAATGAAAGCAACAAGAAAAAATGGGTATTTTCCAAGTTGGTTAATTCCGAAGGTTTCATATTATTATTTATATCTATACATTTTTGCATACGCTCAAACCAATTCTGGAAACATTTTTTCCATTTTGAAGCTGATATCGTAGAAACATGGTTTTAAAAGTGTTAATGTTGACAGTGGGACACAAGACAATGTCATAGAATGTCATTAGGCGATAAATCGGGCGAATACGGGCAATGAGGCATTAATTCCATGTTTTTCTCCTTCAAATATTCACTTGTTTAACGAGCTTTATGCGACTTGCCTATGTTTATGGGAGCTGACATTGTCATGTCGAATAATGATGTGACGTTTTTTGTTCTTTTTTCTTATTTCATCGAAGACTTTTGACAAACAAATTGTTGAATACCATTCGGCATTAACAGCTCTTCGATCCTCTAATGGAATGGTTGCGACGTGTCCAGTACAACCGAAGAAACAAGTGATTGTAAAAACTTAAAAGGCTAATTGTTTCCTTCAAAAAGAATATCTCCGATATGAATCAAAAAATTAACTTTGATGATAAAGTGCAAAAATAAATTCCTCACATTGTTAAACCATTACACAGGGTGTTACTTTTTAATTTAAAAGGAGTCTATATATATATATATATATATATTTAGATTGCCTATATATATATATATATATATATATATATATATATATATATACAATAATTTATATACAATAAATATAAATATATATATATATATATATATATATATATATATATATATATATATATATATATATATACAATAATATATATATAATAATTTATATATAATAAATATAATATATATATATATATATATATATATATATATATATATAATATATATACAATAAAGAAAAAAGTCAAATAATTCTGGATGCACGTTTCTCTATGTTTTTTTTGTCTGGAAAAAAATTAAACACAGTGAAACAGAAATATTAAAAATTAATAAGTTATTCTAAAAACTTATCTAGGTATAGTGTTTATTAATTATTAATAGGGTCTCTCTTATATTAAGTTATTTAATTTTTTATATAGAAAAATTATTTTTTTACAGAAAAATTACGAAATAAAAATGCGATATTTTTAGCTTAGAGATTAGTGATAACATTTGACAACAATGACACTGTGTTGTCTTTAAAAGGACTACAAAAATATTAATGAACAGTAACTAATGAAAAAAATATAATAAATTTGAAGAGAGGAAATATAAGATATGAATAAGATCGGTATTTTACATTATGCGGTAAAGTTGGTTAATTTGATGAGATAAATGATTAATCAAAATATTAATATAATATAAATGATTAGTCACAAATATTTTTAATAATAAAAAACAGTTATTTTATACTTAGATGCGTGAACCCCATAAATTAGCTATTGTAAACTCCCAACATCAGGGGCGGATACAGAAATTTATTTTAGGGGGGGCCCAAATAAAAAATAATGCAAAATATGCCTTTTAGGGCGCCATTTTTAATCCAAAAGCCTAATATTTATTCCAATTTACAGATTTTAAAGGGGGCCCGGGCCCCTCCCCCCCTCTGTATCCGCCACTGCCCAACATACGAATATAAGTGGCAATAGTAGAAAAAATAATACTTACTACTATAGCGTATTTTACTATAATCTTTTTTGATGAGAAGAACCTTTGATAGTTTAACAATACTAATCTACTTGATATATTATGTAGGTGATTGTTTTAGTCAAATATCTAGTTTTGACCCACCCTGTATATAGTATACAATAGATTGTATATTATTTTAAATAGAATAACTTGAATAATGAATATAGTTTTTATCCAACTTTTTATTTTAATAAATAATTGTATCCAAAATCTACGGTTATTCTCTAAAGTCTATCCAACGAATGTGTGTCCTGTGTCCCATGAATACTGACAAATCTTAGTTTAGCGAAAATCGCCCTTTTTTAAATGAACTTTATTTTATTTAATACGAACATATAAAGACCAATATAAAATTTATCACACACACATGGTATTTCGTATATAACATTTTTTGTTTGTTGTTCAGTGTTCTTAATACAATAACCCTTCTATGGTAAAGAATCACAAAATCCCCAAACAAAAAAAACAGCCCATATAGAAGAGGTGGTACTATGGGCAGACTGTGGGACCCTTCTGACGTCGATTGGTCACGTGTTGGTACCTCCGAAGACAAGTTAAGATGGTACGGTACGACCAAAACGGTCAGTCGCCAGTCGCGAACCACCCAGTACCGTATTGTCGTACTATCTGTCAGTGCTCTCAGTCAGTCGCGCGTCGCCTTCTAGTGATACACGGTTTTCAGTACTCAGTACCACCCAGCTTTCCGAAAAAAAGTCTAAACAAACACGACAATTTTCGGTACTTTTTTCTCTTTCAATTCCAACGTTCATGCCTCTGTTACTAGCTATGGACGATTCACACAGTAACTGTATTCAGCAGCAGTACAAGTTAGTTTTTTTGCAGTTTTTTTTGCTCGTATTTGTAGTTTTTTATCTGTCCTCTTGGGGCAGTACTGATTATTTTATCTCGAATGCACCAGTAGGTGTGTAGATAAGCTATCTCAGTGATAATGTCTCCGATTTTAAAGAAATTACTATGCACCAAGTGGGTGTTTTACGTTTTGTGATTAGTTTTTTTTGTGTTTTTTTTTCAAGTTTTGTTTATTGTTATTTTTCTTTTGCAGTTCGATTTATTCAAGAAACACCCCTCACTACAACAATACAATGCATTACTATAATACAGGGTCTCCGGATTTACACACACAGAATCAGATGTGGCAAAATGCAGGTAAGTCAACTTTTAATTATTTTTTTTTGGATTTAGTTTTACATTATAGGATATTATTTGTCAATCTAGTTTGATCATCTCACATCTGGATTTTTCGCAACTGCAAAAAAAATCTATAAAGTAAAGTTTAATTTTTGTAAACACCACAAACAATAACTATATTATTTTGTAAATTTTCGGTACATTGGTGAAAAAACAGAATTGAACATACATAAAATCGTATATCGACATTATTTAGTTTTATAATATCTAATACAATTTACTTGGTTTATTATTTGAAATATTAGATACCTAGTCTTATTTTCAATCCAGTTTGATAAAACTTACTTATTATTATTTTTGGGTGTGTTTTCAAAATTAGATATATAGGTAAATAACATCCACCTACTCCAAAAATGTCAAAATATCTTTGACAAACTGTTATACTGTTCTTATCTAAAAAATTAATGTTTAATTTACCAGCGTTTTTGAAATATTCTTTGGTGTGAAGCCACTTGTCTTCATCAACAATGTGCACATCATAATTATAATTTTTGTAAAGATAATAGTATAGAATGAGCACTAGTGATAAGTATGTTTTTTATATTTTTATCTGATCAGGATGTTAACCAAAAGACACGTAATATTATATTTCAGTATTAATAAATAAAACATACTAATATGGCTTAATGCCTTCAAAATTTTATTAAAAAACTTTTACACTTATGCAGGAAATATTCTAATAAGGAATCTATTATTATATGCTGTTTTGGCTTGTAGAACAATCAAAACAAAACACTAATTCACTATAATACACCAAAACACTTTACTTTGAGCTCTGAATGCGTGGTTTAACCATGTTAGCATCATCAGCAGAAGATTAAAACTCTCAATATGGTTAGCAAATAGCGTACCCCTGAATTATAGTGAATTAGTGTTTTATTTTTCTGTTGCAACCCCAAATTTTTCAACCCCAAGTGTATTGAAGAACTTGTTTTGGAGATACGAATCCATTTAAAGTGACCATATTAATTCTTTGGTGTTTTCAGGACACCCTGTATACATATATTAACACCATAACCATCCTGTAAAAGAACAAGAACAGTAAATTAGTAGGTTAGAACTAATTTAAAACTAATCTGAAGAAATGAGTATCTAATATTCTTTAGGAATGACAACGATTTTTTAAATTACCCAGAATTTGAACAAAGGAAAACGTCCATTTTTTTTCCTGAAAAAACTAATGTTAAATTTTAACTAAAACTCCATAACATATATAGTAGAATTACATATTTTTCTTGTCGCCAACCTTAGTGTGCATATTATGGATGACAGAGATGCAAATTTAAAAATAGATTAATTATCAAAAAAATGTTCTTATCATCCAATGCTTGTAATTTAGGGGTCAAGCAGAACCGACGACAATAATACTTGTAATGTGAAAAGTTTTCAGATAATTTTTGTGTATCCGAGTGTGATTTATCATGTGATTTTAATTTTTTAGCGATTTTTAAGCATATAAGAAGCAAAAAAATTTTATACCGTATGATCGAAAAAAAAACGACGCCAAAGACGGCTGGGGAATGACAATCGATTATAACTTTTGAAAATTGGCATAAAACTTGTCAAAAATTATTTTTACCCAATATAAAAATAAATTTTAACCTGCTTAAAGCCAACTGACAGTAAGCCCCACTAGACGCCGTTTTTTTTTTCGATCGTATATGGTACAAATTTTCTACAATAATCTATTAAGGTAATTACTTTACGCCCAGGTTTACTTAATAAGTTTTTTAAAATTTCTAGATACTTTATAATTCATTATAGTTTTTCTATGATATTGTGAAATGCTTTAATGTATCAATTTCATAGCAGAAACACTTCACACGTTTTATTTAATGTCGGTAATATTTACAATTTGTTAATTACACGTGCTGGTATAATAACAAAACTAAGTGCTGCTTATTTTTCTAATATTTAGGTATTTAAAATCGAATTAAGAAAATTCTTTGATGCTATAAGCTCGAAACACATCGTTAATTTCAGTTTTTCTAGAAAATATTGAAAATAGTAATGTTTTACTTTTCAAAACAGATTGATGTATTTTTTTAACTTAATCAACTGTCAATTAAAAGCAATTTTTTGGGTAATAACATTGATACATTTTTGAAGCTTTGAAGTCTAAAACATTCTTTGTGTCACGAAATATTCATTTAAAGAGAAAATCACTATGATTAAACGATACTATGGCAGAAAAAGATACTAACAAATAATATTTTGTAAAAAAATTCCTAATTATATCTTTCCATCATTTTACAACAAAAAATTTAAACGACCTTCCTCGTTCAATGGCATAAATTTTACTTTAGTTACTGGGGGCCGGGGTGTTTTACCATTTTAGAAGTTACTCTTTTAAGGTCCTAATTTTGCAAATAATTTAAAAACGGCTTAGCGGAAGAGTTTCAAAGTTGATAGGTAGCCTGATCTAATCCACTACTAAAAACTTTCATTAAAAGTTGTTTGAAGATTATTGATTTTACCCTATTTTCAGGTGTTGCTCTTGGAACCACTCTTCCTGGTGAAGACTACCAGAAAACAGCAACTTCTGCGGCAAATGCCCTTCCAGCTTTCAACCGACTTCCTACGTTCCAGACTGCTCCTAGAAGTACTACATCATACCCAACGGCAACGGCGTACACGGAATATGCTGCTTATCCAGACCAGACTGGCGCTTACAACATCACATCTCCCACCTCGTCAAGGAATAGAATGAGTGCAGCCAGCACATTATCAGCAAGTAAGTAAATATATGAAATTAAATATCTTTTTTGACTGATCGACATTGCCTTCAATTTTGAAATTTTACAAAAAAATAATAATCATATTGTACTGAAAACATTGATTTATACTCTATAATTATTATACCTTTCTTAGATAGCATACCATATAGTTCGAAAAATACGCAAGTTCAGCAGATTAAATACTGACCTAGGTTAGATTAGTGTCATTAATGCTATGTGATCTTTCGCTATGTATGTGTCATTAGTAGGTGACCAAGTCGATTGTGCAAGCCGATTATTTTTTCTTTACATTTTGTTTTGAGTAAACAACGTTCATACTTGACCTCTAAAGTGTCGGATCTGTCTCGATACCATTTTTTGTTTGGACGACAAACCAAAAGATAATCTTCGATAGAAAATATTAATCGTATATATATATATACAAAATACTTAGTGGTGTGGTTGATTTTATTTGTTCTCTTTATAGATTGTTGTAAAATACCAATCTCTAATTTATACACTTTTTTATGCGTGCATAAACAAAACTTTAATTGATTTGCATAAACCCAGACGAAAAAATATTTCATCAGATTACGGATACATACAGCATACAGGACAGGCTTAGCAAGAGAGAGTTTTGGGGCGGTTTGGTTTACATGTCAAGAAAATAGTCTATAGGCTTGGTGCATTCCCCGCCGGTGCTGCTACCATCGGATAATATTGTAAACAACTGGTATATACAAATACACGTATTTAAATATCGAGTATACGAAAAATTTATTATTTAATTTTTCTAAAAGTGTTAAGTTCAAATAAAATAAAAAAGTAAATATTTTCAGACGGTCTAACTTGTGTTATCATTTATTATTCCAGCTAAAAAAGCATTTTAGATGAGCTCAACTACGGTAGCGAGTATAGTTTTAATCACCGGTTTTGCTAGTGGGGCATAATTGGGCCTATTTCGGCTATAACGAATTTTTTTAAAGGTACATATAATTTTAAAAGATGTTCATAAAACATTTAATCACATCACTAGTTGATTAAAAAAAGTATATCATTAATATTACAAATTATTTTATTATTTTCCTCTCATACTATTATGCCTTTTTAATTTTTTGATTGTGGTAATGAGCACTTTGTTTACTCACCTCACTTGTTTCTTCGAGCTGCTTGAATCCATTTTTGCTTTTGATCAAATCGGTGTGAGAAACTGTGAAGCTATAAAATTTTGTCTCGGGAGAGTTGAATATCCGGATTTCGTGCTTCTCACAGTACAGCAACAGCGATGCTAAATTTAACGGATAATATTGTCAGAGCTTTAGACAAAAGAATGGCTGTAGCACTTGTTTCTATAGATTATTCAAAAGCGTTTGACAAAATAAGTCACAATCTTTTATTGGCTAAATTAAAATATTACGGTTTTGACAATAAATCGGTCTCATTTTTTAAGTCATATCTGTCTAGTAGTGTTCAGTGGAAGAACGCGTTTTCTGACTTGAAACAGGTTAATTCTGGAGTGCCACAAGGGTCCGTTTTAGGGCCTTTACTATTTTTGATATATGTTTCTGATCTGCCTCGTTTTGTTGATAACTCGGAGGTTCATTCTTTTGCGGATGATACACAATTAGTTCATTATTTCTTTCCGGATGATACAAATCACGCCACAGAGGCGCTCAACAGTGACATTGAAAGGGTGCGTGCATTCTCTGAAAAGCATAATCTTTTACTAAATATGAATAAGTCCAGCATAATTCTATTTTGTTCAGAAAGTGAGAGATACAGAGTTGGAGATTTGCTCAATTTAAAAATCGGACAAGTTAATTTAAAATTTTCTGATTCGGTTAAGATACTGGGCTTGACCATGGACTCAAAATTAAGTTTTACTGGCCATGTTAAAAACCTGCTTAGAAAAATGTACATAAAACTCGGATTATTGTATTCAAATAAATTTATTCTAAATTACAAACTGCGAAAAAAGCTGTGCGAATCTCTTATTATTTCACTCTTTACTTATTGCAACGTGGTATACTTTCCATTTTTGGATGTTCAAACAAAAAATCGATTGCAAGTAATGCAAAATAATTGTGTTAGATTTATATTTGGACTCAAGCGTTTTGATCATGTTTCTCGTAATTATACTGAATTGTCTTGTCTAAAACTGTCAAGCCTTACTGAGTATCACACATTAGTTCTTATTCACAAAATCATAACAACTGCAAAGCCAGAATATTTGAGGGAGAAACTTATTTGTAGACACGAACTTCAAAATTTGAATATTAGACATGGATCTCTATTGTACACTGTGCAACATCGCACTTCCTTTTTTCATCGCTGTTTTAGTTATACTGCGCCTAAATTTTATAATAATATTTCTAATGATGTCAAACAATTATCAGTGGCCGGATTTCGAAAAAAAATTAAAGCGTTACATATAGGCAGATAATTATGTTAATTATTACTTCCATTGCATGTGTCTTTTTTGGTATTATTGTTGATTTTTGATATCTCGATTTCTGAATATTGTATTTTATTTTCTTTTAGTTTTTATAATTCCACTTTTTATAATTTTTATTATATATTATTATTTGTAATCAAAAAACAATCAAACTTAGTAGTAGTTTTTGATTATTTATGTGTGATATCTAAAATCTGTTAAGTACAAGTGGTTAAGTGTAAGAATAGCTAAGCTGAACTTCGCCACTCTACTTAATACATTTACTTAATGCATTTGCATTACTTGTAATATACATATGTGTTTTTTCTTGAAATAAAGACGATTTTATTATTATTATTATTATATCCGGGAAAATGAGTTATTGAATGTTATTGCACCCAACAACACCCTATTAATTACGCTCTCCTTTACGCTTTAACATTTTTCGGCAATTTTATTAACAATTTAAATTGTCAGAATACAACACGACACCCAGCTCGGGTTCTTACCTGAGTGTTTTATATAGTACCCTCGTACCTGGGTATTGTATATAGTTTCAATAACTGCATTATTAAAAACTAAATTACTTAAATATTATGACAAAGCCACAATTTTTATACTATTTCAATTCGATTAACATCGGAACAGTCAGAGTGAAAACTTCTAATTTCTGCCGTATCGAGGCGCTGCGGTCGGAATTTTTTAAATCAACAGAAATGCACCAAGCCTATACTTGGTATTAAAGTACTGTAAAATATTCAGTACATACATTCCTTCAAGACAATCGCCGATAAAGGAAAAAGGGTATTTTATTTCTTCTTTGTGTGCCTCAAATTCCTACAAAAATGAAAGTAAAGACATAAAAACCGTAACAAGGAACAAATTAGATATATTAACCTGCAGCACAGAGTGGGTACCGTAGTTTTATTCACTGTTCATAGATTAAATTACCTAAGTAAAACGATAACAATAAATAGAAATCGATGTATTGTAATGGGTAATTAGCATTAACAAGAAGAGGTTAAGTTCAGTTCAAAAAAGTAAACATAAAACTGTATAGAGCTGATGAAGATGGCGTTTGAAAATAAATGGGTTTAAGCAATACCCAAAAAGGTTCCCAAATGTGTTATTTTTTCGGACGTTTTCCATATCACCGCAATAATTCATGTTTCTACGACTCTTTACACCGTTTTTTGTATTAGGTGTACACATGTAAAACTGCCAAGTAGACAGAATCCAGATAAGGGGGCGTAAAATCGTATCTCTTACAACAGGCCGTGGCTCAAGTGTTGGCGTTTAATATGTAGCCTATATTTTTGCCACTTGTACGGAGGTACAGAATTTCAAATCCCTATGGTTATCAACATTCCATTACCGAGAATATGTATTTTATAAAATTTTACTTTTAAAAGAATATTTGAGATATTTTAACGTTAAAATTATGTAATAATGATACTTGAAAAAATCGAAGGTCAGATTGGGTATTAGTTACATAAGTGTAACCAAACTTTAATCAAAATTGCAATGCTTTATTAATAACTTCAAAAAATATATGGATTATTATTATCTAACATCTAACATAGAATATTACTATATTAATCTATAATTATTGTAATTTCTCCATTGGCACTACTAACTAGAAATTACTTAATTTTATCTACTATACAGAGTGAGTCTTATAAGTGCAAATATTTTCCGGGCTGGTAGATCTCGATAAAAGAAACATATTTTCTCTTTACTGGTTTTCAAAAAAGTCCAGAATAACTGTGATATTTTACTTTGAAAATTTAAAAAAAAATGATATTTCGTTTAAATATTAAGAATCACTGGATCTTTCTCAGTTTTTTCTTGAAAATTTAATCTACTACCTATGTTGTCATATTATGAAGATATGTTTATTAACTAAAAATTAAAAATACATTTTTCAAGAAATTCCAAATCTTAATTTTTTTTCGCGAAAAAAAACTCATAGACGTGTTTCTGGGGGTCGAAATATATACTACCCCTAAAAATATTTGTGCTTATTTAAGCCTTACCCTGTATACATGTAAATAAAACGGGAACATTTTCTGTCTACCATCTCCATCATTAAAAATACATTCAACGCCCGATTTTCATGTGTACGAAGAGAAATAAATTGTACAACTAATCCGACTTTATTTTATTTATTTAGATTTTGAGAGGCAAAAAAGTTACCGTATAAAATATTCTAAATAGTATAAACTGTTAGAGATATTATATTTTAAATGTATGGAAATTTTTCGAAACCAAACCCATATATCCACTTGACACGCCGAGTTGCGTGTGGGCCACCAAAAAGCAATAATTTTTAGTGAAAAAGCACGTAAAAAATGAGCCGAACGAGATGTAGTACCACCATGTCATCGGTCTGGAACGACCGAGACGATCGATTTGTTTTCGAAATTCGACACCCCAAGAGGGTACGAGGGCTGGTGGCGCCAATTTTTTACAACCCCTCGCCAACGACAGAAATAGGACGGGGCCAATAAATCTTGTTGCTGTTCTTCTAGTCTGGCACTGCGAAAGATGTGAATTCTTTCGGGTTGACGCGATGACGTATTG